GGGCGGGCGGGCGGGCGGGCGGACGTTGCGGGGCGCGGGGCGGCTGCGGGCGCCGCCTCCACCGAGCGCTCTCTCTCCGCGTCCTGCAGGCTGGCTTCCGGCGTCATGGCTCAAAGGGCCTTCCCGAACCCCTACGCCGACTATAACAAATCTCTGGCCGAAGGCTACTTTGACTCAGCGGGGAGGGTGAGTCTGGGGGCCGCCGCCCCGGCCGCCCCTCCGCCGAGCTCGGGGAGCGAAGGCCCCGTTAAGAAACGTGCGCTTGGAGAAAGAAAAAGTATAGGACGTGAATTTCAAACGTACACATTCGAGTAAATACAAGGTCGGATGTGAGATGAAGAAATACCCTGAATGATTGAGACTATGAATTACAGAGATTTGGGCTACTAGAATTTACTAGGTCGCTGGCATTTTTATCTGCTCTGGTTTGCTTCCCAAGGAGAGGCAGAAACCCCAACGGTCCCCACGTGTGCGTGTTATTCCTCGGAGGTGCACGCGGGCCTGGGCGGTAATGGGGATGCGGAAAAGCGATCTTCCAACTGATGCTGCTAAGGGAAGTGCTAGAGGCGGGCTTCAAATCCTGGCTCCCATTGCTTCCCTTTGCGGGACATCGTCAAAACTGGAAAAGTTAAGACAAACCCAGTTAGCAAGTTGCAAAGCCCTTGCGTAAGACCGGTCTGGGTGTGTGCCGCCAGCGCCAGTACGGTTTCCTCAGGGTGAACTGTTCCCAGGGAATACAACACTTTAAAGCATGCCACGTTTTGAGAAACCCTGAATGCACGCACACAGTTTTGTTTTTTTTTTTTTTTTTCTTACCAATTTATTTGTTCGAAACTTAGCAGAATACAAAAAGCGTTGCATATATGCTATCGTGGTCTTAGAGCTTCTGTGCCTTGGAGCTCACTTGATGTTGCTGCATTGGTTCAACGCTGAAAACGTTGATCTTACTGATTAACTTGGATCAGTAATATAGATGGGAGGGGATGGAAGAGATGGAGCACAGGTCGAAGGCGAACAAAGTGTCTATGGATTTAAAGTCAGTCTGATTATTTAAAGACCAATACAGAGCTGTCCAAAGATCTTTACACTTATCTTAAGCTTAGGTGCATCCCTCAGGCCTTTTGGGCCTGATTGCGGCCTAACTCTGTAGATGCGGAGGCCAAAGCATGTGTGGTGTTGGAGGAGACAAGCTGTTTGTGCTGGCTTAGCAAGGAAAACACCGGATGAAGGGTATGCCCTCCGGATGGGAGGCTCCAGGAAAATGGAGTACACTATATAGGCTGAGTATATATAATTTTTTACAGATTTAATTTGTTTCAAAGGAGGGGGGGAGACATTGATAACAGTAACTTCTTACCCAAAAATAACAATGTCATTTACTGTCTCACATAGTTTTTTGAACAGATCCTGTAGAAAAGCTAGCATTTGGGTTCTGAAATTACTTAATGTCAAACACAGAAGTTCAGACCCTAGAGATCTACCCTAGTTAATTTTCTTAACATGAACATTTCAGTAAGGAATCGCGGTGTTTTATGGCATCTGTGAAGAAAAAGGGGCTTTTAGAAACTCTTCACATTATTACTAGTTTGAATAATTTGGACAGCAGCCAAACAGTACTTTCAGAGAGGTCACCTTTATTAAATGGAGTATGTGACCTGTAGAGTAACTTTCCTGAGTCAGGCTGGGGCAAATCTCATAATTCTTGACCTCTGAAAGTAGTGCCACGCAAGGTAGCAAATTCTCGGTGTTGGTAGAAGTGGCGTGGTGTCGTGTCTACACTCTCGCTGAGATTTATAGGCCAGTATATTATAGTATATTTTATCTTACTAAGCATTTTCACATCTTAACCTTTTGGCAGAAAGTGTTAAATAATAGGAGTGCAGCTGTCAAAGAAAGGGGTTTCTTCAGGGTGTACAGTGAGGACTCATAGTGGTGCTTCAGAATAAACCAGAGATAGTTGAGAGTTTGATTTGCGGGCCAGACAGCATTGCACACCTGGAGTCCCAGCTCTTGGCCTCGAGATTGAGGCAGGATGACTGCAACCTTGAAGCCAGCCTGGGCTACATAGTTCAGTGTAGGATCCCTCCTTTTCACCGGCCTTTAACATTCTTTGTACTCTGCTTGTGGTTCTGGTGGTCCATGATGCTTATCCTAATGCTACCTCTTCGATTTTAAAAAATTGCATATAAACTGGGCATAGTGGCATATGCCCATAATTCCAGTACCCCGGAGGCTGAGGCAGGATGATCACAAGTTCAAGCCCAGCCTGGGCTACATACAGAGTCTAAGGCCAGCCTGAGTTATATAGTGAGACCTTTTCTCAAAACAAGAACAAAACCATTTGTGTTTTTTTAAAAATAAAACCAAAATGTTTCAAAGATAAAACATTTTTGCTGCTGGATGCCAGTGGCTTCAAAGCAGCACACATCTTTTGATTTGTAGTTAATTTAATAAAATGACTTTTTGATTATAAGACAAATATAGGTTTGAATAATGGGTGATCCTAATTAGTTGAAAAATTTTGTATAAAACATTTAAGTTATTTTAATATATCTTGCTTTGAGTAGAAAAACAGTGCTTTTTCATTTTGTTAATCCGCTATTATTAATTGACTCTCCGCCCAGATAGAAAAACATGACTTAGTTGAAAATCAAATGCTGTACTCTCCTAGTTCTGGTAACCTGGAGTGCAGGAAGTGGGCAGCTGTATTTCTTGATAATTGCTTTCCCTTCATCTCTACAGCTGACTCCTGAGTTCTCACAGCGCTTGACCCATAAGATTCGAGAGCTCCTTCAGCAGATGGAGAGAGGCCTGAAGTCAGCAGACCCTCGCGATGGCACTGCTTACACGGGCTGGGCAGGTATGGAGCGGCCTGTGAGCAGGCATGAGCCTTGTGTGGGAGAGCCAGGGCCTTGCCTCTGCCTGAGGGCCCCACGCCAGATGCTTGCTGCATCTGCAAGTGAGTCATGCCCTCCAGGGGCTGCTGCCCTCCCCACTCAGTGTGGCGCCACCTCCTGGAACAATGCCGTGCCCTGAATTTAGGGCATGGGGCCTGCACTGCCAGCATTCATACCTGGGTGGCTGCTGTGCTTGGGAGGAGAAAAACTGGTTTTCAGTATTACCTGGTTAACGTAGAGGTGGAATTTCAGTGGGGAGAGTTAGGCGGAGCTCTCCAGCTTGTGCCCTGAAACCTGTGAGGATGAGCATCCTCAGGAAACAGCACTTGTCTAGAAGCGCCCTTTTTTTGAGCAGTTGCCCTATGTCAGAGGTCTGTACAGGAGTAAAGGTAAAGCATCAGTCTGTTAACTAATCCCAAAAACCAAGAATTGAGGTGTTTTTTTTTTTTGTTTTTTTTTTTTTTAAATATGGTCATTACTAGTTGGTATGTGTTCGCTATCTCACCAATCTCAATATTACCAATGTAAGACCTTGGAAGAACTTTGGGAAGAAATTGTGAGAAAAAAACCACAGAAGGAAAGTTGAGGAAAGTTGAAAAACTACAATTAGTTTACCTAGTATAGAGGGACAGAAAAAGGTAAGGAGACTAGAAATTTACTGTTTCCCATTTACTTTGATGAATACACAAAGAGGAATAACTTTGGTGGATCTAGATTTTAAGGCATGGTATTTTGTGTACTGGCCTCAGAGCACAGATTTGGATTCTGTAGGTCCTGCACCAGACCCAGAAATTTTATACTGTGTTTTTGATGTTGTTTTGTTTTGGTTTGGTTTTTGGTGGTACCAGGGATCAAACTGAGGGCCTTGTGCTTTCCAAGAAAGCACTTATTCCACTGAGCTACCTCCCCAGCACCCTATATTGTGTTTTATAAGCATTGGTGGTCTCCGTGCAGATGTTGTAACTGAAAATGTTGTAACTGAAAATGTAGATGTTGTGTTTTATAAGTATTGGTGGTCTCCGTGCAGATGTTGTAACTGAAAATGTAGCAAGACAGCTTCTTCATGAAAGACGTTTCCTGTAGCAGTTTCTTAGCAGTGCTTTTTAGTAACAAGTGATTTTGTTTTTCCTTAAGAGGATAGGAGAGGCAGATGAAATTAGTAGAATTAAAATTCCTGGGAGTCTCTTTTTTTTGTATTTTACAGAAGGGTCTACATGGTGTTAAGGGCCTCACTACTAGATTGGACTCATAGAGACCCGCCTGTTTACAGCCTCTCAAGAGCTGGGATTACAGGCCCATACCACCACGCCAAGCCTCAGTTGCTGTTTCAGTGAGCCCCAGGGGCAGGGCCAGCACAGCAGGCCCAAGGACAGAACCCCCAGCCCCTGCGCCTGCTTGCAGGTGCTTTAATCCACTGAGCTATTTGGCTGGCCCTTCCTGGGAGTCTTAAGGTCAGTATTTATCAGAATAGACTAGATATAGGAGCCGGGGAGGTAGCTCAGTAGAACAAGTACTTGCCTGGCAAGTGCAAGGGCCTGAGTTCAATCTCCAGTTCCGCAAAATAAAAAAAAAAGAATAGACTAGATAATTTTCAGCTACCCCTGTGCCAATGTAATTTTAATATTTTTGTAGATTTAGAAGCTTGATTCTGTAATTGTTAATGTAGGAATAAAAGCTAAATATTTAAACTTTAAGAAGGAAGTTACAGTTGTTTTGCAGGTCTAACATCAGTGGTAAATTAATCCTATTAGAGAGCAGTACTGTTTGTTTTTTTTTTTTCCTTCAGAATCCTCCAAATTGAAAATTAGACAACTGCAATATGCATTTGCCTCTAGCTTTCCTCTGGATGGCCACATTGTAGAAACACATGAGGCCCAAACCAGAGTATGAGATTTTCTGTGATTTTATTACTTCTAGTTAAAAAACAGAAAAAAAGTAGAGATAAAGAATGTATAAAATAAATGGCTAAACTCAATTCCAGGATTGGCTGCCAAAAGAATGACTTAATCCTCTCTCACCCATTTAGATGTGCTTATATTATTATAAGGCAACTTACTTAAGGAGAAAAAGGTGTAGAGGTTGATTTCAAGTTTGAGTTAATTGACAGTGTTAGGAAAGCTATCAACCAGACTTCTCTAACTGTTAAGCTTAGTTGAAAAACTAAAAATTGAGCTCTTTTTAGAAAGAAATTTTACTGTAGAGTAAAATGCAAATTGTTTAAAATCTGGAATTTCTAGCATCATCATCTTGCGTGCCAAGATCTTTTGTCCATAAGCATCACTGGCACTCACTGCTGGCCCCGAGAGCAGCGTGTCAGGCAAGTGTCTGGAGCAGACTGGCTTGCTAAGCATTTTAGAATGTCTTCAGTTGCTGGTGATTTTAGCATACAGCATAAAATCTCCTGGATAAGTTGGCTAATGACTTGAGGCAAGATGCCTAATGTCTGCTAATCAAACACTTGTTAAAAAGCTATTACCTCCGTATGTATAGACTGTCTTCACCAGTGTTTTGATAAATAAACTTCTGCCTCATGCTAGTGTTCAGACAATCCAAATAACAGAGTTCTGAGTTGCCTAAGAAACTAGATCTGATTTTAGCATTGAAAAATCATGTTAAAACCTTCTTTGGTTATATTGTAGTTGAATAACTTGTGTCTGTTCATAGCTGCAATATTACCAGAAAAGTTCATTCTTTAAAAATACAATAAAAAATATTTGGTGTTTTGTGTCAAAGTAATATTTATGTAAGGATGTGTATGTTTGTGTATTACTTTGTGTATGCCCCATGTTATCTTTCTAAAACTGATAGTTCTTGAGAAAATAAGTATTATATTTCTTTAACTTTGTTCAGCAACAAATTTAGGACCATATTTTAAAAGTGTTACTTTATTGTTTGCTTCTGTTGCTAATTTGTCTAAAATTGTATTACATTGGAGAACATTAACTTATTGTACAAAACCTTTAAAACATTCTTCTTCAATATTGCTATTTAATGAATATTTGTTATTGGGGTACATTGAAAGCTTTTGCAAGTTATTCCATTGTTATATAGTTTGTATGAGAAACTGTATGATTATAAGTAGCACTTTAAATGACTGTCATTTTCCTATTAAATTTCATTCCAATAGAAAGATGATCTGATAGCTAATGCTGGTCCAGATAGGATTATCTATACCCAGCCAGGAAAGAAAGACAAATGAAGTGTACCTCTCTCTCATGTGAAAGAAGGCCAGAGAAATGCCGTCCAGGGCTGGTGTGGCAGCTTCAGGATGGTAGAATGTCTGCTTTCTTTCCACCCTCCACTTCTCAACTACTAGCTGTACCTCTCAGTCAGGTTGGCTGCAAAAGAGCCAACCCTTATTCAGCTTTTTCAGGCTGCTAGAAGGGACAAGAGGCAAAGAAGAATGTATCCCCAGTCCTTGAAAATGGCTTCTTAGAAGTTGTACTTAGTATTTCAATTCTGCCTATTTTGCATTGGCTGGAACATAGTCACGTGGTCACTTTTGACAAGAAAAAAAGGATAGTAAGTGTTACCTGATGTTCTGGTCTCATTAAAGCAATGTAGATTTTTAGGTAAATCCTAGCAATCTCTGTTTTAACTCCTTGTCGCAGAAAAGTGATTTTTATTCCTATGTTTTGCACAAACCATTTAGACAGTGAACCTTAATTTTCCATTTGCCAAAAGATATCAAACTTTTGTCCACTTGGAGGGGAGTGAATTTTTTTAATGTTTTATTTGTTTGTTTATTTATTTATTTATTTTTTTCCATTTGCCAAAAGATATCAAACTTTTGTCCACTTGGAGGGGAGTGAATTTTTTTAATTATTTATTTATTTATTTATTTATTTATTTATTTATTTGGTGCATGGTCTCGCTATGCAGCTCAGACTCTTAGTGATCCTCCTGTCTCAGCCTCCCCAGCCTCATCTCTGGGATTACAGGCATATGCCACCGTTCCCAGGGTTCCGGGGCTGGCACGGCATGCAGTACTAAGGATCAAACCTGGGCCTTTGCCCCTGTCAGGCAGGCACTTAGACCTCTGAGATATCTCCCCAGCCCTGGGGAGTGGGTTTTTGTAAGAATAAATTTATCAGTAAGAAAATATTTTGAAATTTGCTAAACAGTATTTTATCTGTTGTTTGTCTCCAGGGAGACTCATTTTGTTTCATGGTATCTTACTCTTTTTCTTCGTTTCAAGACTTAATAGTTTTTCATAAAGCCTTCTTTAAAAAACAGTATTATAGGAATGCCAAATCATATTTCTGGAACTAATCATACTTCTAGGGAGACCTGCAACTAATTCTAGAATTAATATTGTGAAGCATTGATGTTTTCTCAGCTTGATTAATGTCTTTCTCCCTTCCTGCTCACTCTGAAATTTGCATTTGCTGTTGTCAGAGTCTGAAGCCTTTAATTTGCTTCTGTCACCATCTGAGTTAGGCCCTACAGTCACATGTCTTCCCTTGTACTTCATGACTGTCAGGCTGCCCAGGTTCCTATCTTTTATTAATGCTGCATGTAGATTTGCCTATATTGCATGTTTGATCTTGAAAATGAGAGTTCTAGTCAGAAGTTGAGGCACCTTTTGTGTTTAATGGTATACATGTACTTAAAACCAAAACATTGTGGAGTTTGGTAATTTTTCCCATCTCCTGTCTTTTCTGCAAAAACTCACACTAGTGATAACACTTTCTAAAATTTCTGCTAGAGCATCTCTACATGTTATATATACTTGGAGAAATGATTATTACAATTAGAACTTTACCATTTTGTTGTTTAGTTTGAAAAGTGACACTGCATGGTTCAGGCCAGCCTTGAACTCATGATTCTCCTCCATCAGGCTCTGAAGTGCTGGAATTATAGGAATACCTCCCTACCCAGCTGGACTTTACCATCCTGTTCATTATATTTCATTTCCCAACAGTAGTACCATCTATTAGTGCTGGATCAAATAAGTAAGATT